CCCGGGGGGGGTGGCCACACCACAATCCCTTCTCCTCCATTCTCCTCTCGGGATCTTGGGCACGCACGCACACGTGCCGAGTGTGAGTTTAAGACACCAGGTCCAGGACTCGAACCACAGTCGACTACATGGGAGTCCAGTGACATAGCCATTATGCCAACTGCTGGTCCGCAGCATGAATTTTAAGCCGTCAGGTCCGAGACTCAATCTGTGGTCGACTACGTGGGAGTCCAGCGACATAAACATTATGCCACTTGCTGGCCCCTCTGTTGGTTTATTCTTAGAAAATCAGAAGCAGCATTGTACGGTTGAATACCCTTAGTGTTTCTATGAGGCAGAACCGCTGACTATTCCCACATAACGCCATCCTCCCAGATAATGAAAACGTAATAACCGAGTACTCCTCCGAGCTGGAACGGCACCGGGTCTACATCGATGAGACCGTGAACAGTAACATCCCCACCAATCTGCGCGTGCTCCGCTCAATCCTGGAGGACCTGAGGAGCAAAATACAAAAGCTGGAGAGCGACGTGTCGGCTCAGATGGAGTACTGCCGCACCCCGTGCACCGTCAGCTGCAATATCCCCGTGGTGTCGGGCAAAGGTAACGAGCCGCGGACCCTAGTTCTGCAGGGCTTCCGGAGAAGCCGCCCCCTCTGGAAATAGGAAAGCTAAGCAACAGGCAGCCTGACTCCGCCAGCCCGTGATGTTACAGTACCTCCCGAAAATGCCTTTTGCATATTGTGTCTGGCTTCCGCGGATTCCTTTCCAATTCATTCATTCATTCATTCATTCATTCATTCATTCATTTATTTATTTAGAGAAGTTTTTGCTATAGGGAATGTGTGCTCACCAGAGACGGAAACAGACAGAGAGACAGAAAGCAAGAAATCATGGTCATATCACAATCCCTTCTCCTCCATTCTCCTCTTGGGGTCTTGGGCATGCACGCACACACACCACCAGGTGTGAGTTTTAAGCCAGCAGGTCTGGGACTCGAACCACAGTCGACTACATGGGAGTCCAGGGACGTAAACATTACACCATCTGCTGGTCCTTGGTTTCCAGCTCCTGAGCGGGATTGGGCATGATGGTGGTGCAGTCCCAGGATGGCTGGTGTGTGTGTGTACGTACACGCTTGCACAGATGGCCGGCCCGCAGGTACATGGAGCAATGTCTCCATCTCCCGTGTTCTGGCAGCTTACGGACGTGCCAGGACACCGAAGACAGGGAAAGGCTTGTTTTATTCTTTTGGCAGATAGAATTCAAAACTGAATTCCATTTTCAGTGAAAGGAAGACCCATTTCTGTAATATTTCAAATGCCCTTAGTAGCATACCCCTCTATAACCTATGTAATCAGTTATCTTAAAGATCTGGTGAGGAGAGACCAAGTGATTTTACTGCAGGAGCCTGAGCGTACTATATTTTCTTATGTTTGCAGAATGTGAAGAAATTATCAGAAAAGGAGGTGAAACATCTGAAATGTATCTCATCCAGCCTGTCAGTTCTAGCAGACCATACAGGGTGTACTGTGACATGACTACAGACAATGGAGGTACGTAATTGAACATTGTGCACCTGCTATTCGGTAATTGTTTTAATACCATAAAACTCCTGGAAACAAGACCTGGCCCTAACATAGCTACCAATGAGCATTTGACTTAGCAGTCAATCTGATCTTTTAAATCGTGTAAAATATTGGGGCCGGCAGGTGGCGTGGTGGTTTAAGGCTTTGGACTCGGCAGGTGGCGTGGTGGTTCAAGGCGTTGGACTCCCACGTGACCGGCTGTGGTTCGAGTCCCGGACCTGGCAGCTTGCTTTCTCACTTTCCTTCTCTCTCTTTGTCTCACTCTGTCCCTCTCTGGTCAAATGAAAATAAATAAATAAATAAAGTCAAGTAAGCTTTTAACTTAAAAAAAAAAAAAAGTTGTGCGGTGTCTAGGATTCTCAATTTGGCATGAGGTAAAACACTTGCAGTATCCAAAGGGTTTAACAACTCTCCTCGTGTATTCCTTTCCTTCTTGTAACTATTCTGGTGTACCCAGTACAGGTGGGTATAAAAGACGTTGCGCGAGTTAAGAGTTTCAGATGTTCTTTTCAAAGTGACGTGCTTGGTTCCTGTGTGTAATCTTTGTCCCTGTGACCACAGGCTGGACAGTCATTCAGAACCGCCAAGATGGCAGCGTTGACTTTGGCAGGAAATGGGACCCGTACAAACAAGGATTTGGAAATATCGCAACCAACGCAGACGGGAAAAAATACTGTGGCCTACCAGGTAAAAGCTGGTGCTACAAAATAAGTGTATTCTATTTAAAAATGGGATTTTCTTCCGTTAAACAGCAGGCAGTGGTGGGAGTCTATTTTTTAGGGTGAGGCAGTTAAAAGGAGTTCGGTTACAAAAAACATGCAAACTACAGCAAAGGGGAGAGAAACCGGTTGTTTGTTTGTTTTTGTTTTGTTTCCGAAGGTTCCGTTTTTGGTATGATGTTATTTGATTTCTCCTTTAGGCGAGTACTGGCTTGGAAATGACAAAATAAGCCAGTTGACCAAGATGGGGCCCACGGAGCTTCTGATTGAAATGGAGGACTGGAAAGGAGACAAGGTGAGAGCTCACTACGGCGGGTTCACGGTGCAGAACGAGGCCAGCAAGTACCAGATCTCCGTGAGCAAGTACAAGGGCACGGCCGGCAACGCCCTCATGGAAGGCGCCTCGCAGCTGGTGGGGGAGAACAGGACCATGACCATCCACAACGGCATGTACTTCAGCACCTACGACAGGGACAACGACGGCTGGTACGTGCAGCGCTCTTCGCGCCTGCTTTCAAAGTCTCTGCTACAGTTAGCCTCATGGCTATGCGCTGGACTACCATGTAGCCAACCGCGGTTCGCGTCCCGGACCCGGTGGCTTAAACTCACACCAGGCGCATGTGCGTGCATGCCCAAGATCCCGAGAGGAGAATGGAGGAGAAGGGATTGCGGCGTGGCCATCCCCCCTGGGGGGTGATTTCTCGCTTTCTGTCTCTCTGTCTCTGTCTTTCTGGTAAGCACATGTGCCCAATAGCAAAAACCTCTCCAAAAAAGAAAGAAAAAGTCCCTGCAGCTGTTAGGGCTCAGATCCTTCATGATAGGTCATCTTATTTTGGGGAATTGTTTCTCTTTTTATTTTATTTCACCTTGTCCCTTCAATCGCTGCGCGCCTAGCGTTTCCTGGGCGTCCACTGTCCGCCAGCCACTGTGCTCAGCTCTCGGATGTGTCACGCTAAGGCACCTCCGCTGGGGAAAGGCATTGCCTGCACTGTGTAGAGGAGGGTCAGAGGGCAAGTCGCTCACCCACAGCCGCACAGCCACCGAGAAGCAGAGCTGGAGTCAGCGACCGGCTGCCTTCTGAGCCGTCCGTGTGTGGAGACGTGTTCGCATCTCTGTATCCACGCAGCCCTCCCTTTTGTTTCCCAAGGTTCTCTAATATGAGGGACACGAGATCCAAGATTTCAGTTTGAAGTAAGCAGTGCGACCCCCAGATGGGGTGGGCACCAAACCAGCTCTCCCCTTCTTGCCATAGGGCAGAGACTGCACAGAACCAGAGGGAAGGAATGCCACACGCAGCTGAGCGTCGCAGCCTTCTGGGGTGTTCCTCAGAGAACCCCCCACAACTACCGCACCCTGGTTCTAATCCCTCCAACACATTTCCTTTCAGGATCAATGCAGACCCCAAGAAACAGTGTTCTAAGGAGGACGGCGGTGGATGGTGGTATAACAGGTGCCACGCGGCCAATCCAAACGGCAGGTACTACTGGGCCGGCCATTACAGCTGGGACATGGCCAAGCATGGCACAGATGACGGCGTGGTGTGGATGAACTGGAAGGGGTCGTGGTACTCCATGAAGAAGATGTGCATGAAGATCAGGCCCTTCTTCCCACAGCAATAGCCCCTCCTGTGTAGTCTTGTACTTTCCCTGTGTGACGCCATTTTTATACGTTATGTTATTGGGTTTTCTTTCATACATTACATCACTCTGAGACTCTCAAATGGTTGTGAGTGTGACTCTTTGGAAAAGGTACGGGACAAATGACATTAAACGTAGCACGTCATTTTCTTTTGTGCCCTTCATTTGTCTAGTTCGCCAGGAAGTAATTAAATGAATAATTGTGGACCAAGTCAGTGTTCATAATTTGAATCCTGGTTGGTGGTTAAAAGTTTCAAATTAGGAAGAAGGGTCTCTCTTTGGGTAGAAAAATTGTGAGGAAAGCTAGAAAGTTATGTTTAAGAGTTCACTTTGAAAACTTTATTTATGGGAACCAGCAGTTAGCGTAGTGGCTATGTTGCTGGACTCCCATGTAGTTGACTGTGGTTCGAGTCCCAGACCCGGTGGATTAAACTCATGCTGGGCGCCATGTGCGCCAGGCATGTGTGTGTATGTGTCCAAGATCCCGGGAGGAGAACGGAAGCGAAGGGACTATGGTGTGGCCATCGTCCCTGGGGGGTGATTTTTTGCTTTCTGTCTCTCTGGCACGTGCATACGCCCTATAGCAAAAAAACTCTAAAAAAAAAAACAAAAAAAAAAAAAACACTTACTTATGTAAGCTCTGTCAAAGAAAATTTTCCAAAAGGTATATTAATTAAACTAGTCTTTGTTGCAATAAATGACTAATTCTTACTTAGTAATTCACACAGCCAGTAAGTTAGGCTTTGGACTTAAAAAGAGAGTATTCACAACCTCAAGTTTCTAATAAACTGACCTTGAACATTTGCATATTTATTTATTTTTAGTCTGCCAGAGGGCATGCATGCTCGCCAGAGAGAGAGAGGGAGAAATCACCCCTTGAAGGGGCACGGTCATGTAGCAACCCCTTCTCCACTGTGCTAGCCGCCTTGTGGGATCGGACTCCCTTACCTAGCAGGCCAGGGGGCCAACCCAAACATCTGAATATTTAAAATCTCACTGTGTACCATGGAAAAACCACTACTCGATCACCTAAGTGGACGTCGGAATCCAGAGATTCCAAGAGGACGGCCATGTTTAACTCTCCTCCGTGAAGGAAAATAGTGAAGACAAAACCAGAATTTGCCTGTGCCCATAAAACCAGGCCTGCCACTGCCCTTCAGTGGGTTCTTGTTCTTTTTCCAAGTCACATCAGGACTAGAGTAGAAGTGAATTTTCTCCCTTTTCCTGTTTCTTCCCATGAAATAAACATATAATTTCCACATTCCTTCATTTCAATCCACCTGCCCTACGGCAACCCTATGACCCTGGGTCCTTCCCCAATCACTTCCCACCCATTTTCATGGTACTTACTGTCTGCAAGCTCATCTTCTTAACTTTTGCGTCTCAGCGAAGGTTATTATTTTTATCTTGGAAATGCCACCACTCTCTTGATTCCCCATGAAATCCAAGTTCGACTCACCTGATTTTCCCTGCCATGAGTTCTGTCTCCCTCTGGGCTTTACTCCATCTGTCAGTTTGCATCAGAGATTATCCTAAAAACAGAAAACGCTCACCAAATCACTTTCCTGCTTAATGCTAGATCCTTGTCATCTCTATCCAAGTGAGAATGGAGGAGAAGGGATTGTGGTGTGACCATCCCCCCTGGGGGGTGATTTCTCGCTTTCTGTCTCTCTGTCTTTCTGGAGAGCGCAAACACCCTGTAGCAAACAAACACACAAAAATCAAAACCTCTTAAAAAAAAAACAAATTAAAAAATAGGACTGTCACATAATCCAGCTATCTCACTTGAAGCATGTATTCAGAAAGGTTGAAATCCGGTCTTGAAGAGATCTCTGCACTGCCATGTTCAATGCAGCCTTATTCCCAACGGCCAGGCCCTTTCTAAATTGTGCTCTCACTGTCAGCGGCACCCTCCCTCCATCACCGACAAATCGCTAATTTCTTTTCAAACCTCACTCTGTCAACACCCAGAGGAACACTTCTTAAATCCTCGGGCAATTTTTATCACTTTTCAACATCTTCTATGCTCACTACACACTTTTCCTTTGCTAATAATAAACTCTTACTCAGTTTTGATTCCAGAATCATTGTTCTGTCAGAAAGCCTGTTTTTTTTTTTTTTCTTTTTTTTGGGTGGTTTTTTCGCTATAGGGTGCGTGCGCTTGCCAGACAGACAGAGAGAGACAGAGAGACAGAAAGCGAGAAATCACCCCCCCCAGGGGGGACGGCCACGCTACAATCCCTTCTCCTCCATTCTCCTCTCGGGATCTTGGGCACGCACGCACATGCGCCTGGCGTGAGTTTAAACCTCTGGGTCCGGGACTCGAAGTGCGGTCGACTACATGGGAGTCCAGTGACATAGCCATTACGCTAACTGCTGGTCCCAAAAAGGCTGATTTTCATAAACGCATAAACTTTGGATGACTAAATTCAACAATGATCAAACTCTTGGTTATCCTTTTTCATATATATAACCTATTTTCCATTAAAGGCACATACAGAAGCTCAAAATGCAAAACACTTGAAAGTAGAGTTTTGGGGCAAGACTGAGGGTAGCCAAAGTCTACCCAATGAAGGCCGCAGGGGTGGGACGAGTCCAACCTGCAGACCTTTGCTCAACCTGTCCTGCTTAGGCCCAGACAAGGTCTAATGACAGTCTAGAATTCCGAGAAAAGCCACAGATTAAAAGCCACTCAAGTAGCCAATCGAATGGTAAATTCTTAGTTAATGTACAAATAGAAGCAGAGACCAGCACTGGTGAAAGCTCATCCAGAAAGGAGGAAGCTTTCTTAAGGTATCGTTTGGTAAGAAATACTACATGTCTGATTTTGCCCATTCAGGACTCACGTAATAAAAAGACAGCTTTCTCTGGGAACCAGCAGTTAGCGTAATGGCTATGTCGCTGGACTCCCACGTAGTCGACCGCAGTTCGCGTCCCGGACCCGGTGGCTTGAAACTCACGTCGGGCGCGTGTGCGTGCGTGCCCAAGATTCCGAGAGGAGAATGGAGGAGAAGGGATTG